CGAGACTAGCTGCTGTTACCGTAACTTGGCCTGGAAGGCGAAAAGCGTTTTCCTAGGGGTAGAGCTCGATTTCTGTCTGCAAATTGAAGCGTTGAGTCCCTGTGTCCTGGTGATTGACATTTACGCAGCGCCATCTCTATTGTTAAGTCTTCTTTCTTACTGTATTCTATCTTCTCGCTTATTTACGTTCTGTATCGTTCTGTTCCTAGACGTTATATGTGCTCAACGCAGTAAAAAACATGAAGACGGACTATTTATTACATCCTCACACAAAAACACACAAAATTAGTCGTATATCCTCAATGTTAGTCTGATTTCTAAGTCATTGATTAAAATTTCTACGATGTTAAACAAGTTTTTGAATTGTATATGTTATACCTTATTTTTATTAATTCCGTTGATTATCCTATAATATCCCGTGGCGACAAAGGAACATTAAAAATAATAAGGATGAATGATTTTCCTGATAACAATTCAAAATAATAAAATACCGCAGTTGTCTACACGCCAGCCTGCCAAGCGTGCCCAACTATGGCAAATATAACGTCTAACGATAAATCTTTGATAGAATGTTATGGATGGATGAATAGATACTTGATTTTTATTCAAATTCCAAACGTCCCGGGTGACGATGCCATATTTAAGAATGGCGGTTCTAGCCTGAAGTCCGTTTGTCTCAGTAGGCATCACCATTTTATCTTTCTTTGTCAGTAAAGTAATATGTACTACATACAAGAACAGACACCGCGACCAAAAAATGTACGGCAGTGCTGGGCGCGTAGGAGTCTAGTTATGGAGTGTCACTTCCGTCGCTGCACGCTGGAAAACAACTCTACGGTCAGTAGCAAAGAGTTCTTTTTTGCTTTATGACACGTATAATTGTAAGATCAGCTTCAAGTACATTTTTTTTATAAACTAACATTAAAAATATGGAGTGTAGAGGTAAGGAGTACAGAATGTACAGTGTCCGTAGGAAAGCGTTAAATAAGTGGCGCCACTGTAGCTACAGTATATATTTTAAAGTAATTCTTTTTACAATAATTATTTCATTGAAACCAAAATTTTTATAATAACTCTCAACCAAAGATGTTTTATAGGTACAGATACCGTGTACGCGCGCCTAAAACGCTTCCATTTAAAAGGCGCCAATATTGGCGTATTCGTTCGATCGTTCCGCCATTACGCCAGCGACGTTCACTGCGAAAATACATCACCCACCGATGTTTTTAATTTCGGTAAATGACTGTTTGTGCTTAGAAATCATGTAAAAATTACTCTTGGAAAAAAAATAAGAATAAGAACATCACTTTTCATAAATAAATATACAATTTTCTGGTGTATTTCTTGATAAAATAATACGAAAGCTGAATGTTAATACAAGTAATAATACTGCGCAATAATATTCGAGTGTTGCCTACCGTATGAAATGTTTTTCCCTTTTTTAATGTCATAAATTGTAAAGCAACTGTTGGCAACGGATATTTATCCAAAGCAGCCGATACGCAACCGTTGTGAACCGGTTGTTTATCCGACTACAAACGCAAAAGGATGGTTATGTTTTTACTGTGTGTGCGGTTGGCTAAGCTGAATCGCTTTTTGGAATGGTGCTCAAAAACTACTTGACCTATTTAAAAATTCTTTCACCATTAGAATGCTATTATGACTGTGAAACGTAGAATGTATTTTAACATAGGGGGCACTACCATCAACGAATATATTTTTAGCTAAACTCGTACAGTTCTTGACCGATTTTGAAAATTCTTTTACCACTAGAATGTTATGTATAATTAAAGATGTCTAATTTAGGATGTATTTTATTATAGATGGCACTACTTTCTATGAATATGTTTTATTTGGCTTATCTCGAAAATTACTTGACTGATTTTGAAAATTCTTTTACTGTTACATTACTAATGAGTGCTTTAGTTGTGTGATTAAATTATATTATTATAATAATTATGTTATATTATTATTTGTTATATAATTATGTTATATTATTGTTTGGTGTATTATTATAATATAATGTTCAATTCAGTTTCATGTCAAGGACACCTATACACAGTCAACGTTGTTTTTAGATGTTTTTTTTTATTTATTTACTTATAGGTTTTACAGTACAAAATGTAGCCTTTAAACACACAATCTTTTATCGTCTTCCAAAGCAGGATTTAATTGATTTCACGCAATGATTTTATCTAGTCATGAAACTGTATCGATATATGAATTTAAAAAAAAATAAACATTTGCTATCTCTTGCTCGAAGTTAATACTTAACCAAACTTACTTTTGTACGTCATTTTACTTGAGATTAAAAATAATTAATGACTTAGCTGCAATATTTTGGGTTTTAAGGTACGGTAGTGTAGTACTTTTATATATATATATATATATATATATATATATATATATATATATATATATATATATATATATATATATGTTAGATACATAAATATCTAATGTGGTTTTTATTTATTTTAACTGTTACATTAATTATATCTAGGTTTTATTACTTATCTTCACTATTTTAGTGAGATTTTCGTACCTACATAAAACACACATAACCGCCCATATCCCTTGTGTGTGTAAATGTTAGTGGGATAGACAACTTTTTTGAGGTTATATTTACTAAATAAAATCATTTAAGATTTCAGAGCTACTGAGCAGTTTAGCAGCACACTTCAAACCGTCGACAACTGCTAAGTTCATTTAATTCCAGTAGCTACTCCAACGCTGTTGTGGAGAGTTTTTGAGACTGTTATTTACTGCTTACCGATGGCAACTTTTTCAACTATTCTACTATGGTAGTTGGTACTCCTTACTTCTACACTCCATATTGCAAATGACCAAGTCTCTGCGTCTCTTCTAGCAAGTAGTACATACTACTTCAATGATCTCTGCCATCGAACAGTACAGCAGGCACACAGCGTTGTTCCGGTTTAGAGGGTAAAAAGCTTATGTCATTTCGGGCTGTGAGTTATTTCATCTAGGTCCATAATCCATCAATATGAGCGGTTTACCTAGTCTGAAGTACTAGGTAGATCGCTCATACTGACGCTACTACTTGTTTGTCGCTAAAAACACTCGTCTTACACTTATTTTGTATAGCACTGCAGGCGTAATCATGCATAAGCTGTCATGAATAACACACGTACGTAACGAAATTATGCCATAGCTGCCACGCGGATTAGCAACAACAGATTCTTATGTATATATCTCCTTTTCCCCTCTATCGCTTCTTACGACAGAGATGTCCGTAGATAGATAGTCTATTGGCCACAGTATCTACCATAGAATACTTATACTACACAATAGAATGGCTGTCAATTATACGACGATAAGCGTCGCCGGGACCATACATACAAGCAATAACGTCGTATTATCACTACTACAAACCCGATTGGCTGTGTTGACAGACAGATTTTAATACATATTTATTTGTAAATAGCGTGCAATTCGGCATTTTCTAAATAATTTGCATGTGAAATTTGGAAACGATGGTAACGTCAAAACACATCTCGTGTTGATATTTATACGTGTGAATTGACATGTTAGTGACATTTTAGTGGCTACACGGGCTCCGCCCACTCCCCCGTTCTATTATGTATGTATTATAGTATTCTATGGTATCTACTCACCATCAAGCGGACTGAATCATTCGTCATTCCCATTTAAAAAAAAGACGATAAGGGGTAATCAATATTCTTATAACGCTGCTTACACTTAAGATTAATTTATTTAAGATTTTTACGTATTAATTCTGACGCGCTTGTTATTAAAACTTTATTTTAGTCTATGAATACTCATAATAATAAATGAAAAATAAACAATTCCGGATTAAAATTATTTATTTAAATATTCTACCCTAATTACATACTATGCTTAGCTTAACCTGTCTATATTGATAAATATACAGATAACATTTTTTATACAATAGGGTGTCAAACGAGCACACAGTCCACCTAATGGTAAGTGGATGCAGTGACCCATAGACACATTTATCCTCGATTAAAAGAATCAAAACGCAGATGCGTTGTCACCCCCTGAGGACTAAGATGGAATGCCTCGTTTTTTTTTTCATTCTAATACAAAGTATGCACTATATCGTAAGAGAATAACAATTAATATAAAACCCACAACAGGGACGGACCTGCTGTTTATAAGAAAAGTATTGGAGCAAGTCCCTTCTGCTGCTATAATGCGTGTTGAGTCTTTTCCCTCGTGAGTCATATATAAACATTTCTATTATTTAGCTATTGCGTCTATTTCGCAAACAAGAAAACCGTGAAAATATAATTAATTCATCAGATATACAAGGTTTCTTGATTTCATCATCGGGCATGTTGAGCATCAGCGCTTAAAAGTTCATTATAGATATGCCAATATTGTTTAATAGCATATATACCTACTATCAAAGAACAATAGCAACCAAATAAAGTGGAATATGATTGCTATTTGTTAATGGAATCATTAAAAAAATTATACGAGAAAAACGCAAACAAAACATTTATAAATTAAAGTGTATATAAATTATGCTAATAAATTAATTTTCAATGTTTTCAACGGTTTGTCATTTAGTCATTAACGAAAAATTTATAGTTACACTTAATAGTTTTTTTTTTCTTACAGTGCCAACATGGTTTATATTTTAATTTATAAAAATACAAATAAAAAGATTATTCAAATTCTGTGTCCATTAAATAACAAATTTATTTTCAGTTATTACATATCTAAATTATTCCGTGTAAAAAAACGAGGTAATCAGGTGATTAACTTGGGATTTGAAGACCCCTAATAAAATACTCAACCACTTTCCTTAAAATCGTGCGCCCAGCCCTACGTGCAGATGTTTTACAGTATCAAGTTAGTATACTTTAACAACATAAACAAGTTATGTGCTAATAAAATAAACATAAAAGTTCTAAAAGCTATTTACAGCTTAATTTAAATATTCCTAACATAAATAGGTATTACAGAACAACGCTAATTCTATATTTGATTTATTGATCTTTGCTATCTTCTTCCTCTATAAATTCTGCATCAAGAACGACCTGAAACAATTAATATTAATTATTCTTCATATCAGCTGTGTTCTTTCACGCGTTTTTATTGGTTTTTTCTAATTTGTTGTATTTGTTGTAAATTGACCGTATTTCAGAGCGGAGCTCGCGAGCTCTGAAATACTGAAATACGGTCTCGTGGACCGAAAATTGCCGTATTACAAGTACTTGCCGGAAGCCGTGCTCGAAAATGACCGCGCCAGGCTCTATTGGGACCGGGCCATCATCACAGGCAGGACTATTCTTGCGAATAAGCCTGATATTGTGCTGATGGACCGGGCACAGTCAAGGATATTTTTGGTCGACATTACCATTCCGTATGACGAGAACCTCGTCAAAGCCGATACAGATAAACGAACAAAATATCTGGACCTGGCTCACGAGGTGACCGACATGTGGGGTGGTCTGCCGACCGAAATTATTCCTGTAGTCGTCTCTGAGAATGGGCTAATCCCAGTCAGCCTCTCTGGTCATCTGAGGCGACTGGGACTCCATGACGGACCGCTCCAGGCTCAAATGCAGAAGGCGGTGCTCCTCGATACCGGCCGCATCGTCCGCCGGTTTCTTTCCCTTTCCCCCTAACCCTCGGCCGTTTGGTCTCCCCTGCCGAGGGCTCCCATCTGGTTGGATCTTATTTATTTATGTAGTGTTTGTATTTATTTTATTTTATTGATATTTATGTACATTTATCTTTTCATTTTAATTTATAATTACATATTTATAGAACCCAACCAGGTGAGAAAATTATATAGATACCCCAATAAAACTAATATTAATTAATAATAATGTTTGTTAAGGTACTTCACACCTAGCGAATGTTACACAATTAAAGTCAAATTTTTACATACAACATTCAACATACAATAGGTATATAAGATTACACTATTAAAAAAACTGATTATTAAGAATTTAGTAATGATGACAGTATTAACTAAATAACATATCTCATACTTTTTTTCTATTCGCTTTTTTATTTTCTATTAGAACTCGTATTTTTATTATACACTATTTACCTAATTTCAATGTGTTTGATTTTTTTTCTATTTATAAATGCTAGGTGTATAAAAGTGGAACATGTTTGCAAATTATGTCAATGGCAACTTTTTTTCTCACAAGTAATGAGACAAAAATCGTTTTATATCCCTGAAATTTACGATGGGGCGAATGCGTCTACCACTTAAAGTATAAATTAGACGCCATAGCCCCAAATTTTTTTGTTCGACTTAATAGGAGAGACCAAGCCAAGAATATCGCTTATAAGATGATAACTAGCTATATCATGAGCGATCTAATATATTTTTTCGATTAATTGTGTTACGAAGGCTTCCTATTATGTGGTACTTGCTAAAGACGCCTTTGCCCCACCTGGGGCTTTTGCGTCTTAAAATCTCAACTTGTAAAGAATGGGTGTTTTCAAGCAAGGGTTTTAAAAATATCACGAAATAATATTAAAACATAAAATTTTATTAAATAATGTGTTATATGTTTTAATTCACATTGTTTTAAATTATACAACTAAATTAATATGATCAGTTAAAAATGCCGCTTAAAGTATCGTGACGCATTAAGCCCCGGTTGACCTTATACTTAAATTCATGAAGAAACCTTTGTTTTTTCCCGGGACTAGTTGAACCTGTCTTTTTCCTTACATGATTCAGTCATCTTTCAATAGATCTTGCAAATTTTTACAAATCTCATAAAGTCTATTTGCAAATATTATACAACAATATTTTTAAAAGACCAAAAATAATCGCAAAAATTTCAATATAACAGGTAGTCGCTAACACTTTCGATATCGATAGTACGCAAGACGACACAATAATGTGCCCGGGCTACGGGATGCAGGGAGACACTACGCGGGGATAGCGCGTCACCCGTTGCTATGGTGTCGCTTCCCCATACCTCATACCGCACCACACTGACACCTGTTTTACGATTCTACGCCGTTTCATCACTCGTGGCGGGGCATACGAGCACCTCTGTTTATGTTACATGGCCATTTTGTTCACAGCGGTGCTTATATTTATATATTATGTCATTGTTGGTGCAATTGTTGGTGATTGTGTAACTTCTGAACAATTGGACAGATTAGGTCGTATTCACACAGTAAATTTGTTTTTTCAAGACAATGGTACATTACTATGCTAGGATCTGATAGGTACCGCAATATTGATGGACCAAGATACCTCATATTCACAATTTTATGCCGATGTTGTGCCAAAAAAGAAGAAAATCACAATATCTGGATCCGATAAGTGGTGCTGTGGTCAAGGTATTTAAATTTTGTTTTTAAAATGTCAAAAGACTGGAGTAACTTTACAAATTTTAAACATAGCACCACCCACCAGAAAAGTCAGAAAATGTTCTACAAGGTCAGTTAGTACATACTGCTTGCATATCAGCAACGGCACGATTGGTCTCCTTTTCGTTATCGTCTTGATCTTGCTCTTCAACCACCTCCATTTGTGTTTCTTGCTCACCATCTAATAATTAACACAATATTTACTAAATACAACAATAAATCCAATGTACAGGTAGCAATACGGGACATTAGCACAACTTTGTAATGTGAAGTTGATTAAAAGGTTTCTTTGGTGAAGGTCCAAGACTCAGGGTGGCTACATTGAACATTCTTTCACGTGATAGTTCCATTATTTAATCGTCGTGATCTATTAAATATTCATGTGTCATTCGCTAGCAGTATATTGGCTGGAGAATGCACTTATGCTAGTACTGTCGTTTGTGCACACACGGTCCGCAATCTATAATATAAACTGCATTTTGCACAGAAAGCACAGTGAACGAGTGTTCGCGCAAACACAGATGCAATCCGGAATCGGAGACTGATCAGACCATCAGCTATATTATTAACGGCTTATCGGTAATGGTGAAACACCGCAAACTTCCTAACTCGGGGCTGCTAGTGAAAATTTCTAACAGAAAAATCCAGACCCAGAATCTGAGCCCGGCACCACATGATCAACAGTCGAAGTGCGCCACAATCTTGTATTTGTAAATCGTGAACTTGTAAAATTTAATATAGTAACAAGAGAATGGCAATCTTCAAACTACAATTTCGACACCTATAAAAATCTTGAAATCCCATATTCCAACTCAATCATCAAGCAGACTGGAATAATAATAATTACACATAATAAATAAGTTTCTGTGGTGCCGTGTAATTACGGCGTTAAAGAATCCACTATCCCATATCATCCCATAAAAGTAAGAGGCGACAGAGAGAATTGAAATAGGACTGGAGTGGTTCACCATTAAGTAATTATATTTTTATTTTTGCGCAACAAAGTTTGTCTGGGATATTTAATCTGAGACTAAAAACAAGAATGTGTGATTCCATAATAAAAATATACCTACCCTCAGAAGAAGCTTGTACAAGTTGTAAAGTGCCATCAACAATCTGTCCAGATATAACTCCGGATAAATTGTTGACGTTCAACTGTTGTCTTATCTTCTTTGCTTCTTGCTCTAACTGCTGCTGTATATAAAGCTCCTTATGGTGGATTTTGTTGTGGTACTTGAGGTGGTGTGCCTTTGTGAACTTCTTATTGCAAGGCTCGCAACTGAAATATATTTAAATATGAAAAGTAAATTGAAGAATGAAAAATTAAAAAAGTGTTATTTTTTTCTTATAGGATAGGGTGACAAACGAGCACAAAGTCCACCTGATGGTAAGTGGTTGCTGTGGCTTATAGACATCTACATCTATCCTCGATTACAAATCAAAATACAGATGTGTTGTCACCTATGAGAGTAAAGCGGGCTACATACGACACGATATCGGTGGCGATCTAGGGTGGAAAGAAATCGGGGCTTTTATCGGGGTAGACCTTACACACGGGCCTGCCTAGCAGTACGCGTTCGGACTTGGAGCGGAATGCATATGCGGTAGAGTTCTTCAAAATACCTCCGACTCTCTTAAAACACCACCGTGTTGGTTTGGCATTAGCCATCTCGGTTAATTTATTCGAAAATAGAAAAAGAGAAGTTGCTGGGTGAAAAAATGGCTCCAAAAGAGATAAAAATCAAGCCACATAAACGTACTAAATGGCCTGTAATCCAAGGACGTGATTAATTTTCTCCGGATGGATGAAGAGTTTTTATAACCTTCTAGAAATGATTTCGCCACTTATATAAAAACGTCAATTTCTCCTACCTATGCTATTTAGTTATTTCTTCTCTTTGTTCATTTCTGCTTTGGTCAAAATCTGGTTATGTATTACACACATCAAACAAGGAAATAAAATACTTTTGTATTATAATATGCATACTTTTTTTTTAACGTAATCTTTATTTATGGAGTAAAACTATCAGAAAATAAAATAGCTTATATCTTTTTTTTAAACATAAAGAAACCTTTAATTTCGGACATACTCCCTTTTATATAACTTGTTTATTGATGTGGAGATGGTGAAGGAGTAGAATTTAGTTGTTGATAAGAGGATGAAGGCACGTAAGAGATCGAAGTGTGGTCTTGTGGAGTTGTAAGAGATATGAGTGCGGTCTTGTGTTGATAGCGTTGGAATAGGAGTTAGTTGTTGAGGAGAGGCTTTATCTTCTCCTTACTTACATCATACACTCTACTATACGAACGGCAATAAAAAAATTAGTTTAGTAGGCATTCTTGACCATGTCACTTCGCAGGGTCACAGGCTAGGGTGGATATGATTTGAATTTCGATAAAATTTCAATTAATTTATTTATTTTATTCACTTTTTTTGGTTTTTTGTAAAATATCAGTGCCATAGGCTTCTACTCCGTTTATATGATTAAAATGTAAAAATTTTGTTATATAAAAAAGGTCATTCAGTATCACTGTTTTGTTAACTTCCTTCCGCGAGGGTTGCCGGCAGCGACTGCCAAAAGAAATCGGGCCGATGCGCCTACACACACGCAGTAAGGAGGGGGCAGTGCCCCGATCTAGGAAGCATCGGCTGATCTAGGAAGCATTTTTGCTCCTGCCAGCCGATTAAGGAGGCGATATCGGCCACGACTTAGGATGGCCCTACATACGACACGATTTAGAGGCAATCTAGGAGGCATCCTCACTACTCCACCCTAGATCGCCACCGATATCGTGTCGTATGTAGCCCGCTTAAGATGGAATGCCTCTTTTCCAGTAAAAAGGGTCTCCGGTTCTCTAGACACAGCATACGAAACACAGCAGCATTAAGCTACTATTTTACGCTGGTATTCTGTGAGAGCGTGGTCCTTCCCCGGTCGAGCCGACTCATTCGTGCTACAAGCTACAACTATACTAGTAATATAACTGCAGCATGGCTCTAACACGTATAAACGTTGTTGCCAACCTACCTGCCATGTGCTATTGCTATCACCCATATGAGGCAATCTAGAGGGAGGCCTATGTTCAGCAGTGATCTTTAGACTATAATAATGTTGAATGAGATTGTATTTGAAAATTAGATTTGTTGAACTTTATTTTGAACTTCAAATTAGGTTTGTTGATAAAAGACAATCTATTCCACTTGTTGTGAGGCTGTAAAATTTTTATTTAACCTTGACAATAATTCTAAGTATAAGGCATAATAATGTTAGAAATATTTTTTATTTCTACAAATTTAATTATAAGCCTATCATAAATAAGCTACCTTTATTTACAAAATATCCTCTAAGGTTTTTTATGTTTTATCTTTGTTTTTAAAAAAAAATTGAGTGATGGTTAATTTGATGGTTAGTGTGTGCTATTAGCCATAGACATCTATCCTCGCTTAAGAATTAAAATATGAATAAGTTGTGTAACAGTCCACCTGATTGTAAGTGGCTATTATAGACACCTCGAACCGACCCTAAACAAAGAAACCTGCAGATACGTTGTCACCACTGCGAATTAAGATGTTATGCCTCTGAACTTGTAAATACACTGGCTCCCTATATCTTTAAACCGGAACACAGCAGTGCACATAATCCTGGTTAGTGGCAGAAACAGGTAAGATGGTGATGCCTACCCCACGGACTTCAACATAAAAAGGTTCCAACATCAATATATACTCAATAATCAAAGCAAATAATTGTGCAATTATAATAAATGTGAATTAAACATGATATACACTTACGAGTATTTCTTCTCACCAGTATGAGTCAGCATGTGGTTAGCCAGTACATAGGAGTAGGTGAAGGCCTTCCCACACAATGAGCATTGGTAAGGTCGGAGGCCCATGTGTAATCTGTAGATAAATAAAACGAATTAACATGTGTTCATTCATGCATTCATTATGGCCTACAAAAGTCCATTTCTGAACATAAAGCCACTACAGCTGTAAGATTACAGGCTATTGAAAACTAAATTGATCATAGAATACTATAATACATACATAATAGAACGGGTGAGTGGGCGGAGCCCGTCTAGCCATAAACATGTCACTAACACGTCAATTCACACGTATAAATGTCAACACAATCAATCGTTTTCAATTTTCGTGTCAAGCGTCACTGCATGCAAATTATTTAAAAAGGTGGGGGGTTCCTTTGTTTTTTTTTTTTTTTTTTTTTTTTTTTGGGGGGGGTTTTTTTTTTTTTTGGGGTTCAAATTTATCACCCTTTTTTTCTAAAAATACTTTAGGTTTGTATTTAAAAAACTTCCCACTTTACATTTTGGGGGGGGCCCCTCTCAAATTTTTCCCTACGGCTTTCGCTTTTGCTAGTTAACTGGATGGCTTTTGACTACAAATTGTGCAATAATTACGTGTCGAAAGAACAGCGAGAAATGGAATTTAAATAAAGGAGACATATTCTACAACCAGTAAGTCGAAACTATTTATATTTTGTGAATATTAGAAACAAAAATAAAGAAACATTTATGTGTTAAAAATATTAATCAAGTCTAAAATGCGTTTGTAAGTTAACTGATAATACGACGTAATTACTTGTATGTGTGCTCCCGGCGACGCCTATCCTCCTACAAAGTAAGGTTGACAGCCATTCTATTGTGTATTGTAGTATTCTATGAAGTTGACGGCTGGCCTTATATAGTATAGGCATATTTATAACTCCAGGTGCCATGTAGGGGCGGTGTAATAAAATTCACTACCCCATACCAACCCTTGGGTGTCAGCATAGGCGACAGAGGGAAAACAAACAGGAGATAGGCAGCAGAAGCGTGGCAACTATGGCAAATGTAACTCTTATGCGTTAGATAAATGATCATTATGCAATATTACTTAGCAATTTTCACAATTAATATTAATATGAATCTATTTCAAACTACCTACATTAATTCTAGAATTGAGTCACAATATAAAAGCCCGTACACTTGACGCTCGCGGCAGTTGATTACGAACAGTTGTGCTGAGAAGGTTATAAAAGTCAAGTTTATTGTGAAATAAGGTGATTCTAAAGGTTGTGAGTAAAGTTAAATTAATATATAGTCTTCTTTGTGAAAGTAAATTATAGTGTATTGTAAAGTATTATATACAATTCAAGAGTGAAATTAAACAACGAAAATAGTGGTTAAACAGTTAACTAAGTGAGTTGTTGTGGTTTTATTGGAGAAAAGCTGACAGTCAGAAGTGGGATGAAACGAACCACACGTAATCGCAAGATATCCTGTCTTACAAGTCTATTTGGAGTATACGCTAAGAAGACTGCTAAAGTGAGTTTACTATGAACCAAGGTCAGTGACTTTTATTTCTCTTTAATATTTCGTATTAAATTTGTATGTGAATACACAACTGTGTCTGTGTTAATCTCTTAAGTGGCAATCTGTTATAATCTTCGAGCTGCCACATATAGTGTATACAGTTTGACGTAATGCAGTACAGTGAATACGATTTTACCAAGTGAAAAAAAAAAACTATTAGGCGTGATTGAAACAATTCGATTAGAATAAGATAAATTTAATCCTTTTTACTAAGATTACTTAAATATAATTTCACAGCTTGTTACCATAAAACCTATAAAGTGAAATTGCAATATCTTTGCTATCATAATATCTAAGGTATCATAAGATTATAATTATAACATTTGCAACTATAAATATTTCTCTTCCTTTAATTTGTTACCGTTAGTTTAGTAGACACAAGTGAAAAATATCCTTAATTTTTAACAATTAAATTTTTGGGTTTGTCGGTTGGTTATAAACTTATATTGTGGGGTCGCCACGTAAGCGACGTAATCATGCTCGTCAACATCAATCAATTCTTATAGCTCTAGTACCCATGATCGTCGTAGTAAGCATAAACAAAAAAACATAAACTGTCCCCATCAACCAGTTGTCGACAGCACGATCATCATAAATCTCGACATGGTAATGACCATCAATCTCGAGGTGGAAATCTTAAAAGAAGAGTTTCAATAAGAACTCCGTCGTTGCCCAGGGTTCGAACAGTGTCACCACTGATAAGGATTAACTTAAATGATATGCCTCATAACGTTACAAGTGTGAACCCTCAATCCCTACCTTATGTTATGGAACCACCAGTTACTTCAGGTTTGACAAGCAGCTCAATGGCTGTTCCTGTTACTCCTATTGGAGGACAAATGTGGTCTTATAATATAACTGCAAATTTTAGTATTATACCAGAATTTGTGATCCTTCTGTTGATAGCCAAAGCATTGAATGGTAGATTCAAAAAGTGAGAGCGAAAAGTTCATATAAATATTCCTGAGGGATTTAATTATTAAATTTAGAAAGTTAAAAGTAAAAGTTTGTCATAGTTATTTAACATAGCAGTGTTAGACTTTATAGTATAACTGTTCCTCAATAATAAACTTTTTTGGTCAATTTACCATTATACGCTCATTATATTCAATTATTAGGACGTACTTAATATACATTATATTTAATTTTTATTGAAATTCATCTATTTATGTACCTACCTAATATATTAATTTTACATAGATATTTTTTATTTCTCTTTACAAAAATTATCTATTATACAATAATCAAACCAAAATTCGAATCTAATACATAACAAAATTTCATCAGGTGTCGGTGTACCTCCGTTTTGTTTTGTTCAGAAACTCTTGTATCTCATGAATATGATGAGGAAACATGTAGTTTCAAATGATGTTAATTTGACTTCTTCATGTTATACTGGACTCTTTAAATGTACTTAAAAATACTAATATGTTTTCTATTATTAAAATAATCACGAGGTCGGTTAATTGATAATCGGTTAGGCCTTTTCGAAATGTATAAGTATAATATGCTTTGTCATACTGCAAATCGCTGGAAAACACATATTTATAATAAAAAGCTAAGTCTTAGCGGTCAGCCGCCGTAGAGTCTACATCACCTGAGGATGCCTCGTGTAGAGGCGAAACACGTGTCGTATTATCGTCGATGGTGTGTCTTACCTGGAATAGTGGTGTTTGGGAGTAGTGGTGCTGGGACTAGTGGTGACGGAGTTAGTGCATGCAATTGAGGGAGGGCGGGAGGTGCTCTTCAATCCAGGTAAGACACATCATTGTATTTATTTAGCGAAAGGTTGCAAAGAAATTTATATTTTTATTTTTTAGTGTTGTACATATCTATTAGGATAAGTTATTTTGTATGCAAAACGTAACACAAAATATTATGCACCTTTTGAAGCGAGTATGTTGTTGAAATTAGGAATAATTTTACATTAAAAAATGGCAAGTATTATAGAATCGTCAAAAAGAACTATACCGTAACGTTACTCTGGGTGGTTCTTAAGTCTGTAAGATGGCGAATACTAAAAACGAATCGTGGCAATAACTGTCATTTTGGGGTTTGAAAAGACAAACGATCGTATCAAAGGGTTCTACTAGTTCAAAAATATGAGAAAGTTCACTAAAAAATATTGCAAGGCTTGTCTAGAATGTGCTCATAATAAAATTCCAGCCAGACTAAGGGAAGGAATGCTTCACTTCATTCTATTGAAAAGGTAAGCAAACCATTTTCCACCATACATGCGGGTCATTGCGGGCCATTCCCATTAAGTAAAAGAGTAATCAATATATATTGGCAATTATTGATCTTTTACAAAATATATGTCTTAAAACTGTCCGTGATTGTAGAAGTAAAACGGGTACCCAAATTTTTGCTTTGCATTATTCGGGGTACCGCGGCGGTTAACTACAGATCGCGGTACCAGCTTCACTAGTAATGAATTTAGCAAATATATAATGGGGAAAGTTATGAAACACATATTAAATGCGGTCGCTATACCTCGAGCAAACGATCAGGTCGAACGATATAATAAAACTCGTAGAATCAATCGCTTCTGCTAATCATAGACATCCTGAAAATGAGTGAGATACCGTATTGTTTAAAGTGCAATGGTCGTTGAACAACACAATACAAAGGCACTGGGAAAACTTCTGCTGATACTTAATTTGGGGTGGTTCCTACGGGAAGTTGCGATAGCGTTATGAACAGTGTAGTGGCTGAATCTCGGCAACTTCAAAACCGAGATGAAATTCGCAATGACCTTGAACAACGAATTTCTTCTGAACAACTGAAGCAAAAGACCAGGTTTGATAAAACGAGAAAAGAAGCTAACTAATGTAAAATAGATCTTGTTTGTATAGAGAAAGATGTATATAGGGCGCCGGGACATACCAGAAAGTTGGTTCCGAAATGTTCCGGACCGTACAGAATAACAAAAATTCTAGGTCATGATCGATATGACGTTCAAGACACAGCGATTACTAAAAAGGAAGGTAAAGCGGCATACATCGGGAGTTTACCCGCTAGATAAAATGCACCCTTGGTTAGTATTCCAAAATGATCCAATCTCCATTTTTTTTTATATTATTTATATTATTATATTCTATATTATTGTATTATATTATATTGTCCCTTTAAGATATGTAGTTATAGTTGCATCATAATTGCGATATATTATAAAGGAAGAGATATATTAAAATAGTAATACAATACAAACATATGAGTGAAAAATACAATAGTAATTTATATTATTGTATAACTCCCTTCTGTTGTATCTTTATGGATAAAACATAATAAATAATGCATGAAGATATGAATAATTATTACACTTTAAGGCAGGTATGTGCAATGGCATAATTACATATAAGAAATTGAGCTGTTACTGAATTGTATCAGTGTGAACCGTTCTGCGCAACGGCACTTCTTAGAGTTAAAGAGTGAGTTGGTACCGAATGGTATCCGTGTAGACCGTTCTATGCAACGGCATTCATTATATATAAGAAAGTGAGCCATTACTGAATCGTATCAGTGTGAATTGTTCTGCTTAACGGCACTTCTTAGAGTTAAAGAGTGAGCCGGTACCGAATGGTATCAGTGTGGACCGTTCTGTGCGACGGCATTCATTAGATGTAAGAAAGTGAGCTGTTACTGAATTGTATCAGTGTGGACCGTTCTGCACAACTGCACTTCTTAGAGTTAAGAGTGAGCCGGTACCGAATGGTATCAGTGTGGACCGTTCTGTGCGACGGCATTCATTTGATGTAAGAAAGTGAGCCGTTACTGAATTGTATCAGTGTGGACCGTTCTGCACAACTGCACTTCTTAGAGTTAAAGAGTGAGCCGGTACCGAATGGTATCGTGTGGACCGTTCTGTGCGACGGCATTCATTAGATGTAAGAAAGTGATCCGTTACTGAATTGTATCAGTGTGGACCGTTCTGCACAACTGCACTTCTTAGAGTTAAAGAGTGAGCCGGTACCGAATGGTATCAGTGTGGACCGTTCTGTGCGACGGCATTCATTAGATGTAAGAAAGTGAGCCGTTACTGAATTGTATCGCGCAACTGCACTTCTTAAAGTTAAAGAGTGAGCCGGTACCGAATGGTATCGGTGTGCACCGTTCTGTGCGACGGCATTCATTAGATGTAAGAAAGGGAGCAGTTACTGAATTGTATCGGTGTGGATCATTCTGCACAACTGCACTTCTTAGAGTTAAAGAGTGAGCCGGTACCGAATGGTATCAGTGTGGACCGTTCTGTGCGACGGCATTCATTAGATGTAAGAAAGTGAACCGTTACTGAATTGTATCAGTGTGGACCGTTCTGCACAACTGCACTTCTTAGAGTTAAAGAGTGAGCTGGTACCGAATGGTATCAGTGTGGACCGTTTATGCAACGGTATATTAGATATAAGAAAGTGAGCCGTTACTGAATTGTACGCGCAACGGCACTTCTTAATGAGTGAGCTGGTACCAAATGGTATCGGTGTGCACCGTTCTGTGCAACGGCATTCATTATATATAAGAAAGTGAGCCATTACTGAATTGTATCGGTGTGGACCGTTCTGCGCAACGGCAGTTCTTAGAGTTAAAGAGTGAGCTGGTACTGAATGATATCAGTGTGAACCGTTCTATGCAACGCCATTCATTAGATATAAGAAAGTGATCCGTTACTGAATTGTATCTGTGTGGACCGTTCTGCACAACTGCACTTCTTAGGGTTAAAGAGTAAGCTGGTACCGAATGGTATCAGTGTGGACCGTTCTATGCAACGGCATTCATTAGAGTTAAAGAGAAAACCGATGTCGAATGGTACTATATAGTCAGTATTAAGTGGGAAAAAAAATTAGTAATTAGAGTTAAGAGTTATTGTTAATTTAAAATTTTTTGGTACTGTTTTTACGCGGGGTCGCATCTAGTGTCAGGATTGGTCGAGTGTAGATAAATGATCATTATGCAACATTACTTAGTAATCTTCACAATTAATATTAATATGAGTCTATTTCAAACTACCTACATTAATTTTAGAATTGAGTCACAATATAAAAGCGCGTACACTTGACGCCCGCGGCAGTTGATTACGAACAGTGGTGCTGAGAAGGTTATAATAGTCAAGTTTATTGTGAAATAAGGTGATTCTAAAGGTTGTGAGTAAAGTTAAATTAATATGTAGTCTTCTTTGTGAAAGTAAATTACAGTGTGTTATAAAGAATTATATACAATTTAAGAGTGAAATTAAACAACGAACATAGTGGTTAAACAGTTAACTAAGTGAGTTGACGTGGTTTTATTGGAGAAAAACTGACACGACTATGGCAAATATTATTTTTTTATTAATAATTTATGGGGAAGGCCCATTTTCAGCAGAGGACTTTTAAGCTGTAAGCAATGAATGAATTTAAAAAAAAATTGATCAAACTGGGAACCATGGGATTCACAGCAACACAACTTTTATCTGAATATACTTCACACCTACATTTATTTCTTCGCTATTGATTAATGATGATAATTACAAGCTATTTTATCTTAGTTATTTATGCCTTTTTGTTTCAAGTTACCTGCTCGTTTGAATAGACTGAATAGCAACTTACCATCAGGTGGTTTACGAGCTTGTTTGTCAGACTAGTGAAAAATTCAAATATCTGTAGACTTAATCCATAGAATACTATAATACATACATCATAGAACGGGCAAGTGGGCGGAGCCCGTGTAGCGCCACTAAAATAGCACTAGCACCGTCAATTCACACGTATAACTGTCAACACAAGATGTGTTTTGACGTTACAATCGTTTCCAACTTTCGCATGCAAATAACTTAGAAAATGCCAAATTGTACCCTATTTGCAATATGTATTAAAATCCGTCTGTCGATTCAGTGAATCGGGTTTGTAGTAGTGATTAACTGATAATACGACGTAATTGCTTGTATGTGTGCTCCCGGCGACGCGTACCCTGCTTCAAAATAAGGTTGACAGCCATTCTACTGTGTATTATAGTATTCTATGGCTTAACTTATGGTAAGTAATAAAACTGTCTGCTGATTAACAGTGCGGTGTATCACTTTGAAATACTTTTATTACTTTCAGAAACCCAATGTCAACACTTGAATCAGTTTAATATTCTTCACAAATAGCAACAAATATAATCTTTATAATGTATTACAAGAATGTAAAATATTAAAAAATAACAATACCTTTCGTGTTTCTGTCTAGTACCATAGTCACCGAAAGATCGTTCGCATATACGGCACTTGTACGGACGTTCCCCGGTGTGACGCAGCATGTGTCTCTTGAGAGCCTCATTAGTAACGCACGCGAACATACATACGCTGTGTGATCATAGTGCATGGAGATCGAAGATATGATGTACAAAGCAAAATATTGAAAGGAAAGCTAAATGTGGGGGAGAGAATTTTCAGTACAAATTTGCTAATTCTGATTTTTATGTGTAACAGAAAAAATATATTCATAAAAAATATTTAATGAATAAATAAACACTTGGTAAATAATCTAATTTAGCTTTAATGTGTTTAATTAAATTTTAATTTAATTGCACGTTCATAATCTCGATGAAGTTACTGCACATGTTTAAGTTTTTAATCTGTTATAATATAATCTGTTATGTTATAATATTGATGTATATATGTAATTATATATACTATCAGTTACTACTACACTCTTACACACTGTACTATTATACGGTACTACTCTTCCCATATTTAACTCTCATTACAAATAGTCACCTCAAACGCTGCCAATACATTACCACGATACTGCACTCGCTAAATAAAATGAAGATATATTTAATATTAAATAGCAGAATGGCATCACTCGCCTCTCGTGTTTCTGCCGACTGCCAAAGTCGCCAAAGCGTCTGTCGCAAATGCGGCACTTGTACGGACGCACGCCCGTGTGCCGCATCATGTGACGTCGCAACTCCATATTCAAAACGCACGCGTACCCGCAAACGCTAAAACGGTATAAATTTAATTTAGCAATTTCAATAATGTTGCAATTTTAACACCACGTTTTTCATTTATATGAAATATTTGTTGGGTTATATGTTTTCGCGATGCAAATGTTTGTATAATTAAAACGTTAAATATAATTAAACAATATGGTCGTGTTTATAAAGACTAAATTAGTGTAACGAATAATTTATAAGTATAGCAATTAAATTCACTCAAATTTCTTCACACTGGCAAAAGTGCAACCGTAAGAGTCCATTACGATAAAAAACATCACTGAACACAACAGTTTTATTTATGAATGAATTAAAACTGTGCAAATTTTTTCAAGAAATATTTAACTATCATTATCTTTATATATATATATATATATATATATATATATATATATATATATATATATCAACTTTGCGGGTGCGGGTGCGTTCATATTAGCGAGGGCGGTATGGTATAGCGATCGTATTTGGGCGCAGGTGGAGATGCAACCGAATTACATTTAATAAATCGACATTTAATATATTTTTTTAAAACTCTTAAAGCAACCTCACCCGCACCCTTGACGAAGAATTCGAAGTGACTACATCAAATATATATTTATTCATTTATTAAATTAAGAACTAGAAGTCTTATTTATAGTTTAATTTATGTATAATTTTGGCATTCAAATTAAAACATAACATGAAATTTAACATCCAAATTTACAAACCAAACAGTGTACAGAAACAGTCCAAACAATGACGTCCTGTTTACCTCACACTTAGGTGTATCCGATAATACCGCAAGTATGTTATGTTACCCGAGCTTTTGTAGTTTTCGAGTTATAATTTTGTGGTATTCTTTTAGTGTTTTCTGCCAGTGGGGCTTCAAAAATTCACATCTTTTTTTGTACTGTTTTTTTTTTCAATTTTCTTTTTTGATATGATCGTCTGAATGACACTTTCACACATAAAATAATAAACTTCCTAATATTCCCGCATGTTACTTAAAAATTTATCGAAAGTAAGAATTTTAGTTTTTAGTTGGATAGACTCGACTAAAATAAATATTTAATCAATGTAATAAAAAAGTCATCGAAATCATCACAATAAAATTCGTTCAAGTCATCGCAATAAAATTAAAGATCATTTACGCTGTTAAAGTCAGTGGTACTTTTAAATTGAACCTGAAAATTTGAGTCTACCCCAGTAAAAACTAAAATTCTTACTTTCGATACTTTTTTGAGTAACTTACAGGAATGTTGGTAAGTTTATTATTTTATGTGAAAAATAACTAATAAAAAATATTTCTGAAGCACATCCGGCAGAAAATACTAAAAGAATACATAAAAAATTATAATTCGAAAACTACAACATGGGGTATTTTGCGATACCCCTGGGTGTGAGGAATTTAAATTATTTTTTTTTTGGACGTCAGTCTGGACCAACCTGTATAAGGATACCATTTGAATTCTGCCATATCAGGTTTGTGCAGACAGTAAGATACTACCAGATCTATAAAGACAGTGAAGTGCACAGACAAAATATTCCTGAAATTATAAGACATAAATAGAAATATTTTCTGTTTATGATCATCATTCAGCCCATCTAACTTCACTGTTGACGCTCGGTCTCCCCCAAATGTCTTTTTGCCGGTCCCCGGCACAAAACAAAAATACAAAAAAATAAAAATAAAAGTTCAATTGAAATCACATGAACATACCTGCAGACAAATGGCTTTATGCCCAAATGCCGTCGTATATGCGCCTGGAGGGAAGCATTGGACGTAAATGAAGAACCACATGTTTCACATGTGTGCCTGAAACAATACGAAAAATGTAATGTAAATAAATGTTTGCAAATTCCATAATCAGCATGACAATTTATTTCTTTTTTATTGGCCCATACAAGTCTATGGGTGCACAGCAAAGCAGCGCAGGTTTGCTTTAATCATAATTTAATAGGTTACGAAACTTATATCATTCAAAAGGTACTGTGCCATTGATGTGCAGAAATGTGTATTCATTTGTATATGGTTCAGTTAAGACAAGTATGAGTGAACTACATGCATGATTTTTTCCATACAAAATGCTTTACACAATTAAATGATAATGTTTCGACCAGCAGCTATACTATTTAAAATAAAGCCATCTTAAGTATTAAGATTTTTATTAAGTTATCATTAACATAAATTCTCAGAGAGAGATGAGAGATGAGAGAAGCATGAAGAAAAAATGAAAAATCCAACTAGACTGGTGAAGGACCACACCATCATATAACACTAAGCGTGAAATAGCAGTACAATCCAGATTTTAGTGTGTTGAGTGATAAAATCTAGTTACCCTTTTTACTGGTAATGCTGCATCCATCTTAGTCCAATCAAAGCAGGGCATGTGCATTCTGACCATGTCATCATGACAGAAGTAAGTAGGTGTCTACGGACAATAATATCAAATTACCATCAAATGAACTGATGCTTGTTTGTCACCCTTACTACTATAAAAATGTACTTCAACTAATTGGACAACTTGGAGTTGTTCATTAAACATGTACACTGTTTATGATTCTGCTCTTGTTGGAGACTGCTACCATTTGTAAGCTAAAAGTTTACAGCATTAAGGGTATATTTCATTATTATTCTTACGTCTTTTCATACGAATATTTCTTTTTTTGCTGAGATGGTTTCTTTTTCTTAGGCTTTGGGTTCAATATATGGTCTGGAATGGGCTCCGAGAATGCTAGGATCGTTTCCTTCAGTAGCACATCTTCACCATCATCCAATTTTGTCTTTGCTGAGTCTATGCGGACTTTGGGTGGTCGACCGCGTTTTCTTGGTTGTGTTTCCTAAAAAGAAAAAATATCAAAATCTATTTAAGCCCACAAAATATTTCCAAAATATATTCCTATTAATTATAAAAAAACAATCATGATCATATAGTAATATATAGTATTAATAGAATGTAGAGAAACCTCTTTCTTAATCTCCGGTTCAGAATCTGGATCCTCAGTTGCAGGGTTGAAATCAGGATCATCAGTTGCATCATATCCTTTACAGAAATATAGTACAATCATTAATATAGTAAAAAAATTAACATTTATGTTAATTTTTAATTTTAACACAAAATTATACATGTACTTACCATCTGCTTCAAAAGGCTCGTCATCGTCCAAAGGCTCCTCTTTTAGATCCAATGAGCCTGATGCAAGCAGTGACGTAAGAGATTCTTCCTCCTTTTGTGACTCTTTTGGTTTTTTGCGCTGATATGGTGAAACATCTGTAAGACAACAAGATATTTATTGGTTGCATATTTGATCATGGTTGGGTTGAAGTTGGCTCATGTACCAATCATAGCGGTTTCATGACAGATAGAGATGTGCCGCTTCATATACGCTCCTAAGATTGCTCAGGGAAACAGTTTGTTGTGTGAGTGGTATATCCATTAATGAATAAAATGAAAATTGTTTATAATCTTCATATATTTAAATTAAGACATACTCAAAATATAACTACATGATATTAGAAGGGACAACAATTTCTTTCAGATATCCCAAAATAAAATAATTTAAAAAATTTTCAATAAAATCTTTAATGAACGTGCATTTACACACCAATTTTTTTTATAGTATAGGATGACATATGAGTGCACAGTCCACCTTTTCCTCAATTAAGAATCAAAATGCAGATGTGTTGTCACCCCTGAGGACTAAGATGGAATACCTCATTTCCAGTAAAAAGGGTCTTCTGTTCTCTACACTCATCATACAAAACAGCAGCATAAACCTCTTAGCTACCAAGCGTCCGAATTTGACCGCGGCGATATTCTGTCAAAATTCAAGAGGTCAAATGTGACCGCACTCACCCACAGCAATTTAACCCATAAATACTTATATTTAGACTACTTTTCTATAAAAAGTTTGGCATTATAGAATCAAAATGAAATTTTCTATCCTCTAATGGAATAAAAAGTCGGTTAGGTTATGGATATTTATTTATAATCTACGTTCATTTCGTACGCCGTTTTCGTGTGAATGTTATTGTGTTGATTTTTGGGTTTTTCTAGTGTTTTAGTATAGTGTTTTATTATAAAATTGTAATGATAATTTTTGTGAATATAATATCGAATGCAAATAATTGTGATTTTCACGCTGCCGACATCCGCTTGGTATTTTTTTTATTATGAAAATACTATAAAATCTTTTTGTAATGAAGTAGATGTAGATGTCTATGGGCCGCAGCAACCACTTACCATCAGGTGGACTGTATGCTCGTTTGTCACCCTATTCTATAAAAAAAAAGTAAAACCTGACTTTTGTTGACACCACAGGAAAAAGAATTTAGTATAGATTTTATAATGCCAAACTTCTTCATAAAAAAGTAGTCTCTAAATACAAATATAATGGTTTAAAGTGCTTTGTTTGAAGTGGATTTGACAGACGCATGCGACTGCATGGGATTTTTATGGGGATTGAAGGGTTAAGCTAATATTTCACGTTGGTATTCTGTGAGAGTGTGGTCCTAACCCGGTCGAGCCGACACATTCCTGCTGCAACCATAATATAGCTGCAGCGTGGCTCTACCACTAACACCGAACTCCACACTAAAAAGGAGCAATGTAATTAACTATAAGAAAAATAAAATCCAATAAAAACGATAATTGCGATTATCAAGTAATTACGTATTTGTACCCGCGCAATATGCATTTTTACATGTCTAGACTTAGTTGCCATTTTGTACCCTTTTTTATAAAAGAGTGAGCAAACGAGCATGCGGCTCACCTGATGGTAAGTGACTACCGCCGCCCATAAACAACCGCAACACCAGGGGAATTAATTGCAGGTCTTTTAAAAGGAAGTAAGCTCTTTTCTTGAAGGTCCCTAAGTAGTATCGGTCCGGAAAAACCACCGGTGGTAAACTATTCCACTGAAAAGTTGTACGAGAAAGAAAACTCCTAGTAAAACGCACAGTGGTGGACATGCCAAGCATTCAGATGGTGAGGATGGTATCTTGAATTTTGACGCGATATGCATTTATGAAATTTGGTGGCTGGGATTCATCCGAACAATTCCTCAGAGCACTAGACTAGACTGGTAGATGCGATAGAAAATGCAAAGGGATGCAACATCCAGCGCAACAACACAACACAACAACGCAGCGCCAGTGAATCGAGCCGATCAGAAAGAACTCTGTCATCGACGATTCGAACCGCACTGCGCTGGATGCGGTAAGTGGAAGGAGCTGGCACTGAGGTGCCCCGGCACAGAGATGAGAACAGTATTCCATGTGAGGCCATACTTTTATAATAATAATAATAATAAAGCTCTTTTATTCCGAACTACATGCAGTTAAAAATTTGTGGTTTACAAATTTTATTTCTTAGTACCTGGTTGACCGAGCTTTGCTCGGTATTTTTCGCTCGATTTTTTTTTAATTCGTGTGTTTTGGAAATTATATTTAGATACAAATTACATACTGATGAAATATAAATAATATTTTTTGATCTTAGCGACATAACAGAAAAAACGGAACTGGTTATTTGAATAAAAAAATCATGAGTGCAATTATTTTAATTTAAGTTTTCGTGTTTTTAAAAAATACTAAAAAAAGGGCTCGGAAAAATAGATTTAAAAAAAGAAAGGAACATGAAAAAAAAAATTAAAAAAGTCTGTTGCTCGGTCTGGGCTCGAACCGGGGTTTTAAGATTCTGTGACCGACCATTATACCAATTAAGCTGCTTATAATCACTAACAATCCGTCAAAATTTACCTTCTTATTCTAACGATATTGTAGCAGTTTTTCATTACCTAAAAACACGGACAAAAAGACATTTTCTAAAAATAAATCCTAGCTAGATCGATTTATTATCCCCGAAACTCTCTGGACACTAAATTTTATGAAAATCGTTGGAGCCGTTTCCGAGATCCCGATTATATATATATATATATGTATATAAGAATTGCTCGTTTAATAGTATAGGATAATATATCTCGCAATTCGGCGTGCCTCTTGGCATAGGCCCCCTCCAGCTCTCTCATTTGAGCTCTGTCTTCTGCAACTCAGGTCCAGTATGGTCCCAGGGTTAGGCGGATATCATCACTCCATCTTTTTTTTTTCAGACGCCCATGTCTCTCTTGGACATCATAAGGTTATTTGTTTGCTGTTTATTTTACAACGTAGCATATGTCCTGTCCAACTCCATTTTAGATGGTCTGTATGGGTTGTTATGTCCCTTACTTTTGTTTTCTTTCTTATTTCCACATTTCGGATTCTGTCACAAAGCCTGATTCCCAACATGCTTCTTTCCATTGCTCTTTCTGTTTCAGCAAGTTTTTCTCTATGTTTGTCCGTTAATGTCCATGTCTCACAGCCATATGTCATGTAAGGGAGAATACAATTGTTGAAAGTTTTTCTTTTTATATGTATCCTATCTTTGTTCTTCATTATTTCTTTCAAGGACCAGTATTTCTTTCAACCGCAGGATATTCGTTTGTTTACTACCTTGGACATGGAGTCTTCGGCAGATATGAATTTCTCCTAGGTAAACATACTCTTTCAGATATTCAAACTTGGTTCCATAGACCTCTATGTTGCTTTCTTTGTTCGTCATTAGTTTGGTTTTATCTGTATTAATTTCTAAGCCTACTTCTCTGCTTTTTTCTGTTATGTCTTTTACCATGTGTTCTAGTTTCTTAGGATCTTCTTCTAGCAGGACAATATCATCTGCAAATCTCAAATGATTGAGGCGGCTTCCATTGATTATAGTACTGTAATTATCCCAGTCTAATCTTCTAAATGAGAGTTCCAGCACAGCATTAAAAAGTTTTGGAGATTATGAGTCTCCTCGTCACACGACTTTGTTTATTGGAAAGAGGTCGCTTTGTAAGTGATGTGCCGGCACGAAATAATGTCTCGCTTTACTGAGTACGGCAAGCTTTTTAAAGACCAATTTGGCCTTCTCTTTCAAGTGACCACGAACTACACACTATTCGACATGTCGACGCCGAGGATTCCGATACTAGCTGAGGCAGCAAGGGCAGTGCCTTGAAAGTGAGGAGATACGACAAAGTGGTTCTTTTTAGCGTTAAACGGGCAAACTTGTGTCTTCTGGGGATTGAACTGGACTAGATTTAGTCGCCCCCTCCGAGATCCGAGACTTTGTTTAGCAAAGACTCGACTTTAGACACAAGTTTCTCCCGGTACTCGGCGACGTTTTTCCGAGAAATATTGGCACAGCCGCTGTATAAGGCATCAACAGTGCCCGCCAGCCGTCTGAATAGCAATGAATGTTACCAGTTTGCAACATATCATTGATATGCAGAACAAACAGCATTGGTGATAGCACACAGCCAAGTGGAATGCCAGCATTAATAGGTTTATAATCAGAATGTGCACCGTCCACTACGAGCTTGATGCTTCGATCAGCAAGTAAACTGGTGATCCAATTGCACTATTTCTCAAGAAGCCCATATTAAGGTTGAATGCTTTGTGCTGGACCCGATCAAAGGCCTTTCCTATGTCTAAACTAATGGCCAATGACTCTACTGGATTCTCCTTTGAACTCTACTGGTTCCACCCATCTATGAGTCAGATAGCGCCGCTGCACGTATAGGCAGTCACTAATCAGCTAGTGATCCTCAAGATACCTCATGAACTGGCAGTTTATAATGGACTCCATTATTTTGGAACAAGGAGGTGATGACGATGGGCCTGTAGTTGGACTGGACTGAGCGGTTGCCTTTTTTTAGGGTTTGAGTGGACCAAAGCTATCTTCCATGAATTTGGGGCTACACCTAGAGTGTAGGAGTAATGGAAAAGACGCGTAACACATCTGACGTAGAGCACTCACACCACGGGATGGTTGGCGGTGTGTTCCCCTGTTATCAAGAGTCGAGTTGGAGGTAAAGAGCCCAACAGATTGGCTATCTCCTTTGCAGCATGAGCTAGAGAGTCGTCCTCTCTGTGCAAAGATGGAAGAGATGACTGGCGAGAGACCAGAATGCACAGGTTCCCAGAAGAAGGTGAACTAGCTTCTCGCCAATTCTGCCGATGTGCTTAGAGCTTGACCTGGCATTGACTGTTTTAAAACTATATACCTTAAACCTTAAAACTATATCTACAAAGCCACTCACAACTAACTGTCAAGACAGAACTTGTAGACCAATATAAGAACTATTTATATAAAAGCCGTGACAGTTTCATGAAACTTCTCTGAAATTGTTTAAATTGCAATTTTATGTGTTGATTTCATAAAATAGCCATGTAATGGTGGTGGTAAGAGGATCAACTACCTCATATCTTGTATGTGTGTCATAAAAACAATAAAGGGAAACTGAAACAAGAAATGGGTAGCAACATCTACCAGATAACAAAATAATTTAAAATACTGGTTACCAAAGTGCCTGCCAAGCAAATAGATAGATGCAATCTATAGGGAGGTCTATGTTCAGCAGTAGACTTTCATAGGTTTTAATGATGATGATGATCATGATGATTACTAAATCAGCTGTGAAGAAAACCTTTGAGGAAATCTGCAATTCTGAAAAATTACAAATAAATATTTCTAACCATATGAAGTCAACTATTTTACACTCAAGCATCCAGCTACAAGCTCCATCTTACTTGCCCAAATTCTAATTTGCACAAGCATGTATGTTAAGCTGGCAAAATGTTATACAGTACAAATGGCTTGCACCAAATACTTAATTTGCTCAAACTAAAGTTGCAAAAGCAAGCATGTATGTTAAGACAGCATATGAATGCCAAACATGTTCTTTATGAAAACTATGTACAAACTCTATTGTGTGAATGTTGTGCAGTGCACCATGTTTTTTTACACAAATTGTTTGCACATGCAAGTCGCTGCATGTAGCCGGAGCTTAAAAGGTGATTAAAAACCATACAATGCAAAATCTTGTAAGCAATACCATAAATTTTTTTTTGCCATATAAACAAAAGTGCCAATCTGCAGTTAAGGATATGGATCTTTCTTTTGGGTTTTCTTTAGTAATCTGCTGCATGAATATATGGTCGCCGAGTGGGTGGGGGAGGGGGGAGGGGGCGGAACCTCCCCCTGAAAGGAAAAAGTGCCGGAAACCCCCCCCTTTTTTTTATGAATTTTTAAAGTTTTGTTACATTTAAGGAAAATTCGCTTTCGTTTAATAAAAAAAGGGCGTCCGGCGACGAAAAACTCACATTCGGGTCCCGGTGGGAATGTGGGAGTATTTAGGGTGGGAAAAACGGTGGGAATTAACACTATTTTGACTCTGCTTCTGCTCCAGCGCTGCGGGAAGTGCAGCCCTTTCGCCCTTGCGTAACTAAGCACAGGCACCTAGCTCACCTGCGCAGCTTCGGCTGTTTGGTCGCCTTCGGCGACCAGCCTCAGCCGCTACGGCTCGTACGCTGCCTGCGCTTAGTTACAGCGGGCGAAGGCTGCATTCCCTCCGCGCTTCCGGATTTTCATATACACTCTAGGGGTAAGAGCGGAAAGACCACGTGGAAGTTGGGGTTGACAGATTCGGTTTTGTGATTTATACCTTCTGGTACTAGGGTTTGATCAAAAGAAATGACCAAATATAATATTATAAAAACATTTATTTATATACATGGTTAATTACTTTAATTAGTTCCATAAAAAGGATCCTTTTTTTTCTTTGCACTGACCTTCTCCACAAATATTCTATAATAATGTCTGAAAAGTTTTCCGGGTGGTTATAATTGTATCTACTGAAAAATATTTTAACCACCCGCCATTGCGATTCGATTCTTTGAGTATGAGTGCCATCAGGGGCAACAAATGGGTTCTCAGGATCTGAATGGTTCACCTTCTTGTGAATGTACCCATGTTGCCCCAAACAATCATAAGCCCTCCAGAAGTCGGTATGGATTGTAGTGCCCTCAACCACATGTTTTTTAATTAGGGGCACTAGTATGTCCGCTGACCTGATGTTTTCAGGGCACACCTCTAGGCGTAAATCCTCACTTCCATCCTCAATGAGGCCGAGGATCCAGTGGCCCTCAATCTGCCTTCCTAAAATCAACAATAAACAATTTAGAGTTAGTAAATATTCAAGATATTTATTTATTTATTTACTCTATATTGTACAGTGTACACCAAAACCCAATAGTACAAAATTACAAAAAAAAAAAACAAATACAAAAGTACAAAATTTTATAGCAGAATATGTACAACAGGCTGTCTTATCACTCTGAAACTGATTTCTTCCAGATATTTTGGCTTTAAAAGGTATTCAAATATATTTAATAAAAGGTATTAAAAGATAATTTGGGTTCAAAAGTAAACTTTAAAATAAATAATGTGTAATAATTTAAGACTAACATAGGTTAAGCTAATTTACTAACATATTATGGACTATATGTGGGTCTGAAATAAATTTAATTATCATTATATTATTATTATAAATATATTGTTTCAGTCTGTAATATAAGAAAATCAAATTACCTTTATTATATTTCTGTTTTCCAAATTTTGACTCGTCTATTTGGACCACTTTTCCTGGGCCACCAATCTTGCCGATGGCCTCTTGTTGCTCTATTTGGTAAATGACGACTGTCTCCCGGCAGTAATTGTACCAATCGCAGACAGTCGCCATAGATAAGCAGCTTCCCTCTTTATCTTTTTCTGGGTCTTCGTGGATTGCATCTTCATAGCTCCAGCGATGCGCATAACAATACATCAGATAGAATACCCATGGCAATGACATTTTAATATTTTCAAACCAGGTGCCCTTGCCACGAGCTACCCTGGATCGGGCTCTGCAATTTCCTTTATTGCAAACAAAGAAGCCCACATTTTTATTTTGCCCATATACCACTTTCATTGGCACTCTATGGGTGCGGCACTCCTTAGTGGCAGGGATTAAGCCATTTTCAATGGCAAACTCCACACACTGTACTCTGGTACCGAGTTCTCGCATGATTCGGGGTAAATTAAAAAATTTAGCTCCTTCTTCCACATATAAACGCCTGCGCACAAAATCACCATAAAGCTCCGCGAAGGGTACTACATCCGTTGCGGCGGCGTTGCTTGCGTTCGACGGACCGGCCGAACTAGTTGACGGCGTAGAGTCGTCGGCCATCTTGGGTCTCTCAGGTAGACAGACAGGTAGGCAAAGTCCAAGAAAACGTGCAGGGGTTTTTGTAGGGCAAATCGGTGGTCCGGTATTCGAGCACGGGTCTTCGTCAAGGCAAATCACAGGTCCAAGAAACAAGCAGAGGTCGATAATAGAGCAGGCGGTAAACGGAGGTCCGATAATCGAGCAAGGGTCAAGAATTAGGAGCAAATAATGAGCGCAAAACATTCAAAGTCCGAAGGCGAAAGTGGAATGGATGGTGACTAAAAAACAATACATGGTTTAACATTGTATGTTAGAGTAGGATAGCACTATAAATAGATTAATAGATCATACAAACTGTACTATTGTTATCTCTTTCTAATAATTATATCCTTGTTGCTTATTTTTTTTAAAACAGAGTACAGACCATGCTCTATTGCTATCTCTTTGTAATAATTATATTCTTATTTCGTATTCATATCATTTTTAAATGGATATAACCTCAAAACTATAATTGTCGGTATCTCGAAAACTAAAGATTTCCGGCATAAAAAAACAGCTAGATGATAATTAATAGTGTCATTGCCTGTCAACTAAAGCTAAAATGATCAAATAATTATGTTATTTCTTTTCGTATCATTTTTAAATGGACATAACCTCAAAACTAAAATTATCGATATCTCGAAAACTAAGGATTTCCGGCATAAAAAGCAGCTAGATGGTAATCAATAGCATCATTACCTATCAACTAAAGCTAAAATGATCAAATAATTATGTTATTTCGTTTCGTATCATTTTTAAATGGACATAACCTCAAAACTAAAATTATCGATATCTCGAAAACTAAGGATTTCCGGCATAAAAAGCAGCTAGATGGTAATCAATAGCATCATTACCTATCAACTAAAGCTAAAATGATCACTTAAATCGTGCAGCAGATTACTAAAGCCGACCCTTTCTTTTAATGCAACAAATTTATATAATTTCAGTAACTAATAATTTCATAAATACAGATATACTTAGATCTTCATTTGAATGCAAAAATTTTCATCTCATTTTGTGACTGTAATAGTTAGTCTACACATGACTTAGAGTAAATATAGTTTTCTACACAATTAAATTTGCATTGTGTGATGTGTTAATTAATATTAGATAGATGCATCAAGAATTTATATGCTACTCCATAAAAATCTTGATACATTTCTTAAAATTTTAATGAAAATGGGTAGCTTAACCTTGTCAATATGTCATGAATATAATTGTCATTTTGACTATTTATTCTTTCATAATTAAATTACAGCTTACCAATTTGTCCCTGTTCATTTGGATATTTCCTTGGTCGTCCCCTTTTTCTTGGACCTGGTGCTTTAGTAATAACTGCACTGCTTGGAGTCTTTGTAACAGTACGGGTCCATTGGGCCTGTGGATCATGTTCCACTGGAAGTTCATACTGAAGAAGTAAACCATTCTCTTGCTTAATTGTAATTGTTTCTGTATCATTAACTGAAATATTATAAAAATAATGTTTGTAGCATCAAAAAATAATGAAACAACATTAAGTGCTGTAGTGGTGTTATACAGTTGTATTAAAGTTGAAAACCAAGTAAATAGCAAACATTCTGCAAGGCAACTTTGCACAAAAATAATTTAGATGACTCCAGTCTTACTCACTTTCTTTTTTTGGTACTGAAACTTCAGCCTGGCTCTTCGTAAATTCTTCGAGACATTCTTTTAATGTTTCCGTAGAAGTAATACATTGTTGTTTGAACTGATAAGCAAATGTTAGACGATCTACACAATTTAGACAAATAAGTGTAGGCAATGAGTCATTTTTAGTAACCTAAAATTGTTAAAAACATTTTATTATAACTTGTATTACAAAATTTAGTATCCTGGGATGTCAGCAAAAAATCATCAAACAGCACAAATAAAACAATATAGCAACATTATTGTACGAAAAATTATAGGGTGGCCATCGCAACCATTTTGTGTGGCAATTTTTCCATACCTCTATGCCGCTGCAGTAGGTATATTTGTCGGCAAGTTGTTCATTATTTTCATCCCAATCAAATAATGAAACCATATCGCCAGTTTCCAGACATACTCGACATGTTAGTTGCCAATCCATATTTCTAATTATGTTATTACAAAAAGATACAAAAATCAATCTAAATTATAACAAAAATAACATTTCATGTAACCGGAAATAAATACCTACTGCCAACATGTCAAAATTATGAGGCGTGGGGTAACGTTCCTTTTCATGCAATAATTTTAGAAAAGGGACTGTTCCTTACTATAATTATTTAAAAAAAAGCTTTTTCAATTATTTCAATTTTAAAGGCTTAATTTTATACTAAAATGTTCTTTTGGTAATCAACTCAAAGATGAATATGCAAAGAACTGAAAATTGTAACCTTATTACCATTTTGATTGATTGTTATAGATATCTATATAACTTCAACGTCAAATTTAGCTACCAACCTGCAGAAAATAGCTGTCAGTTTCCGCTCCTCCCCTTCCCTACCCCTATCACAATGTATTCGATTGAAAAACGTCAAATTACCAAATTAGATACAAATTACAACAATGATAAACACAATGAAATTATTGCTAAGAATGCGAACGTGAAATAAAATTTACACAAAATGGAACTATTTAGATCTGAGCTTTATTATATATTTGTAAGAAATGAGTCAAGTTTATGGTGGAATCGCGTAACAGGGACATTTTCGGTTCGATCAGGTATTAGTTTACTTTTATTTATTTTATAATAAATGTATTGTTCCTACTTTTTAGCTTTTAAATTGTATGATAATTGTACTTAATTATTTTTCTTTTTACACATTGTTACTATTTTTATTTATTACTATTATTATTTTTTATGTGAAAATATTATGAGATCTGTCAATCTCTTTTTTTTAGCTTGGGATATGTCTGATATCGAAGATATAGAATGCTTGGGCATTACGGAAGGTATCATTGGCAAAGTAGAACATTCCAACATATATGAACCACGCTTAATGATAATAAAAGAGAGTATCCCAGTGGGTCAAATTTACTTTCATCATACTATATATAAAATAAAATCAATATGTTTTCTGAATAAGGGAGTAACAAATCAAGAACTCGAATTATGCCCTTGCACAAAACATAATTCATCAATTTCTGTGGCAAGTTCAAATAAAACAATAAATAAAAAAATGGGTAGCCTGTTCGAAAATTCTGCATTCCTAAATAAAACAGTTGGGGCTGTAAAAAATGTTAGTAACACTATCAAAACTACTACTCAGCAGGCTGCTACACAGGTAAAAATTACTAAATATATTTTTTAAATGTATTTTTTTGTGTATCTTAAACTTCTTTGTGTATCTTAAACTTGTTATGAACTGTAAAGTTGATTGTGTGAATGTTTGCAAATGTTTCAGTTTTCTCTCTGGTAATGGTTGGATACTATTGGTAGTTAGTAACATAAGAAGTAACTATAATTATAATAAAGTAATAAAAATTGACGGGTTATAAAAGAACAAATTAAAGTTATTGATATTAGTTTTTTTTTTATTAAGTTTTTCACATCAATTACTCGTGGAGGTGTAAACGTGGGAAGGAGTGTTGAAATGAACTGAAATGATGAAGAACAGATCATTGCTCAATTTATTCTGTGAATTAAACAAAGATGTGTTATTTTTTTATAGAATAATACCGACAAAGGAGCACACAGTCCACCAGATGGTAAGTGGATACTGTGGCCCATGGACATTTACATCAATCCTCAATAATGTATGTATGTGTAAGAAATGTATGTAGTTATGCTTTATTTTGATGCATTATGTATAAATAGGCTACGGTCGGTGATTCCCCTACGAAATGCCTCACTCCTTTGATGCTAGTCCCAGTTGGCCATCTTAGGTGTTTTAGGATTAGAAGTCATGAGTTCTTTTCAGCTCTTGTCAAGTCCCCTCTTGCCGCATCCATGGATCCTAATAATATTTCCTACTAATTAAATTGGTCTATTTCCAGAAGAAAAAGATAAAGACTGTTCTAAACTACTTACAAGATAGATATCATAGAAACGCCAGTCATACAAAACAACTACTGTGATGATGTCGACATTATTTCTTTTTTTTTATCATCAGGTAAAACACACTGTAAAGAAACAACGGGATCCAAAGCTTGCTGAACGTTTTGAAAAACGACTCACAGATGAACTGCATAAAATATTTGATGATGCAGACAGCTTTTATTATTCACGCACCCTGGACCTGACAAACAGCTTACAACGACAGTACGAAATTGAAAAAGTTCTAGAAACTGAAGATGGAGGCGGGAAAGCTGTCACTGACATAACAAGATGGTGGAAACATGTGGATGATAGATTTTTCTGGAATAAACACATGTTGAGGGACATCATTGCTTTGGGCGTGAGTTATAAATTCCTAAGCTTGTTACCTATGAGATGTGCAAATTTCATAACTGTATTAATTTTATGAAGCAAGTTTTATTCATCCATCTGCTGGCAAATGGTAGGTTTGGCCAATTTACATCTCTATTAATAATCAAAATACGGATGCGTTGCCAGTCATTCATTACTCCTGAGGAATGAGATGGAATATCTAGTCACCAATAAAAAGGTTTTCTAGTCTCCAGTTCTCATTATTAACAATGTGAAATACAGCAACATTACTAAACTGTTATTCAATCAGATTCTGCTTGAGCCTCAACTGAGCCTCAACCTGCGATTGAGCCCAACCATTTGAGTTTTGGCTTAGCTCTACTATGGTAGTCAATATTTTATTTAAAATTAGAAATGTAAATAAGTAATTTAAGCAATGCCCTTGGATTGCTGACGTATTGTGAAATTTAAGGCACCCGGCCTTCAGAATCTACTCGTATCATTTGTATTAGATGCTAATTATATTTATTGCATTATGAATTATAATATTTTTTTTCTTACCGAAAATTAACTTATTGTGTACAAACTACATACTACATATATGCATTTAAATATCTTGTGATCATTTATGCATATTAGTATAAGTTATTATAAATACCTATTTTGTTATATTATATAGGATAGGATCGAGGTTCGGGTCGATAGAGAGATAGATTTATTGCTTGCATAAAGAACAGTCTTCTACAACCGCACCCGAGTACATAAATGTTAAAATTTTGTTTGTAATCAAGTCCCGTAATTTAGCATTGTTACACAATTACTGTGTAGTAGTAGTGTAAGAATATCCACTACTCTATAAAATCCCGTGGATGTCGTAAGAGGCGACAGAGGGAAACAAATCAGGAGATGGGCAGCAGCATCTCCCCAATTACGACTTAAAATAAACTGTGGTTGCCGACCTGCTTGCCAAGCGTGACAACTTTGGTAAATATCCCCTCTATGAGGCAATCTATTGAGGTCTATATTCAGCGGTGGACTGTAGCAGGCTGTAACAGTAACGGTAATGGTATGTCGTGTTTATTTCGTTGTTAAATTTAATTAGTGTTTCCAAATTTCCATCAAACTGATTTTTATTTAAATCCAATAGAATACTAATGTACCTATAAAATTAATTGATTTTAATTGAGAAAGTTATTTTAGAGTCCAGACTGCGACCAATGGATCCTGCCTGTGATCCAAGGATATGTCCACTTGTCCCAGATTGCTGTGGACCCAGCTGACAGTAACCCTCTCAACATTGAATCCCTGTCTAGCACCAATACCTGTGATGAGACCTTCACCCTAGGTCTTATATCAAGGCGGTCTAGATATCAGGCTGGCACCAGGTTAGTGTAATTAGTATACATTTATTAGATAATTTGATATTTTTTTTAAACTCACAATAAAAAAGGAACTACAGATACAGTCTAATTAATCCAAACTACTGTTATAATAATTATTATTTTTTATTAAACACAATCTAATTTAAAGCTGAACTTAAATTAAGCATGTTTATGGACCTTTGGGATCCTACACTGACAGAAATAAGTTGTTTTGTGCAATAGTCTTCAAAGTAATTTAAATATATCTATTTTTGTGCTTTCCGAGGCACGCTGGTTTAACACCGCAAACGTCTTTACTCCGGGCTGCTACTGACAATTTCTTGACAGACAAACCCAATAACAAATTTTTTAACCGACTTCAAAAAGCAGTAGGTATTCAATTTGACTGTATGTCTTTTTTTATGTGTGAGAACTTTTTCTGGGTGAACCGATTTTGATGATTCTTTTTATTTATTTATTTGAATTATTCTTAATTAAGCGTAATATTTAATTGACTTTCAATTCATTGATCAGACATTGATTATCATTTTATTTATACTGAAGTCGGTTGTACAAAACTGTTTTGGACCGATTGGGGATTTAACCCGGGACCTTATGATCAGCATCGCAGCGGGGCACTGCAGATTACGCTGAAACGAGAGCTCGGTTATGTAAAGGGTATGTTCCGAAACGTTTTCAGTAAACTGCCGAATACAAATGACGTCATCAATTGACATTATATTGTACTGGCGTGCCGCCGCCATATTGTGTCGGATATCCGGCCACAATAAAACAATTTTTAATTGTGTGTGCGCTGAATGAAGCATGCCAGAATTTGTTTTTATTTATTCATATACAAAAAATTAAAGAATAATTGTTGGTATCTCTATTAAGAGGATATAATGATTTTTGGAGCACAAAATGACAAAATAATCGCCAACACTTTTCCAATATGGCGCAAATGTATTACGTCATATACTGTCCTATGTTTTGGAACGAATCGCCAGTATAGCCGCGATTCATGACGTCATTTGCATTGGACAGTACACATAACATTTTACTTTTGTGCGTAGGTATAACCGACGCGGCATCGAGCCCGGCGGCAAAGTGGCCAATTACGTGGAAACAGAACAGATTGTGTCTATCATCTGCTCCGACAGCATTCATAGAGCTTCCTTTGTTCAGGTCAGTGAATAATCGCTAATTATATTGCGTTCACCTTTGTACACTACTTACTACAATCACCTTTGTATTATGCACTTTCCTTTTTAAACAAAGATCAGTCTGAAACGATACTGATCTTTATTTGCAAAGCATTATGAACTATATCCGTCTGCCAACGGTAAAAAGTTAGTGGTGATAGATCAAGACAGGCGGAGACATTGAGTTAAACAGCACTAGAGGAGCAAATCACATTACCGCGCGTCGAAAAAAGTGTAACCACTATCCAAATGCGACGACGAGTAGCTTTGAAACTAATAACAATTTTAAATAAACATATATATATCTCACTTACACAAGTTGCGAAAACAATATCGTCGCTAAGATTAGATACAGATAGACACACAACATGCAATGGCGGGTTGGTGCTTACTATATAAAATTTTACCTATAATACGCAATAAAAATGAGTTTTTTGAAGCTGCAGTTAATTGTTTTTATATTAAAAAAGTATATTTTATTTTAACATCTTTATTGCGTCCCCTTAGAAAAAAGGATACAAAGCTTATCAGATGAATAGAAATAAACATGATGATGAAATAAAACATATAAGTATTTTTATTGTACTAATGAATCAAACTATATAAAATAGGTAATAAAATATATTTAATAGATAATTCATGAATAAACTAAAATAAAAATAATTAATTATTTTGTATGCAAGTTAAAACGTAGTTTTTATCCAAAATTTTTAAAATCAGAGGTAACAAATTAACTTACTCCATTAATTATATAGTCTCCCATTAATGTAGGATAATCACAAATGCGCAAAAGTGGCGATATTGAACCTAAATGGCAATATTCAATAATTTTATTTAATTATTTGAGATATTTTACGTTTATATGAAAACAAGAATTAAAAATTATGTGTTGAAAGTGATCCCCCTTGATTTATTACGTTTTTGTGATATTGAATATTCTTTCACCACGCATTTACCCATTTTTTGTCGCGGCTCAACTCTGTCGGCGTCACATTCAACACTGAACTGACGTTAGCTAGGCATATGGCTGTGGCCATATGTGCAGTGGGAACGCTTTGGCGCGGTTAATCTAGTGTAATATATAAATCAATGGGCGGAGAGATCAAAATTCAACATTATTGTCCATCACAAGACCACGACTGAACAAAGGCTTCCCCAAAGGAATGTCACAAATAAATTTCCTGAACCACCTGCAGCCATCAGTATCATTCATTTCTTAACAGGACATCGCTCTAGTGGGGTCCGCCCTACACTTCTCTTACTGATACGAGGCAGCCATTGGAGAAGCCTATTTTTCTCATTGGTTGTCAGTTCTTTCAAATATATGAGCGGCCAGAGCATAGCTTTTTCCGTACTAGTGTTAAAAGCATTAATTAATTTTTCATTAAAAAACCTTCGATCAACATTGGTATTCTTGATCGAAGAATAAAACCCGCAATACTATTCTATTGTTTTTTAAAGGAAATGTATTCTTTTTAAAAACTTTCTCTCTCCGTTTCTATCACTTTCTCTCCTTCCAAGTAGAAAGATTACATCCAGGGCAGATCGAATGGCGTCTGTACCCAATTTTTATATTTATTTCGTGAGTCATAAATCGCAATCAAATCTGTAGTGAAAGCTACCGTTACTCAGTTACCTAAAAACACTTAACGCCCTGATAGTTTTTCATCTTATTCACATTGTTTAAAAAGCAAAATTATAACTCTAAATAACTGTTATTATATTTAAAATTTATTTTAATTTATGCTTCACCCGCTTTATTTCCGTGATGTCTAGATTGTCCGTATAAATATATTTGAAATTAAAGAAAAATTTATATGGAATGACGCTAACGCCAGAGATCCTATATCATTCCACTTTATCTTGTTGCTATCCTTAAAGCTACTTAACATCGATCACAATAGATCTTTTAGGTCGCAGTGATACTGGTCCCTTTCCCTAGACCAGCACAGCTGCTCGCACAACTTTATCGGTCGGCTCGACCGGGGTAGGACCACGCTCTCACAGAATACCAGCGTAAAATGTGTTTCGTATGATGAGTGTAGGGAACCGGAGACCCTTTTTACTGGAAATGAGGCATTCCATCGCAGTCCTAAGGGCTGGTAACGCTTCTGCTATTTGATTTTTAATTGAAGATAAATGTAGATGCCTATGGGGCACAGCATCCACTTAACATTATGTGGACTGTGTGCTCGCTTGTAACCCTTACACTATAAAAAGCTACTAGACCTAGAGAATATCAATGGTGGATATCTCAGGGTTTTTATGTGAAATGTGATTTGCGAGCGGATTTGTGATCGTAATCACTGATCCCGCACACTTTAAACGCTGTTCCGTGACCGGTTTATTAAAGAAAATGTTCTTTCATATTTCACATACAAGTCGTCCTAATAACGTTTATTAATTACCTGTATACTTTTCAATGCTGGTTGGAAACTTCTTTGTTTCCGGGAGTTGTGGAGCAGAAGCAAAAGTCTGTCGTGCTACTTTACAGAAATTTATAGAGTTTACGATTTTTTTTTATTAATGTACAATGTATCAAAAATTTATCAAGTATTTGAAGATAAAAAAAGTTGTTAAATGGTATTAAGACAACCTTTCTTGCTTTGAAGAAAGAAAGGTTGTCTCCCTAGCAGATAATGTGAAACAACTGGATTTGCGCTCGGCAGTCAATACAGCCTATCAAAAGTCCGCTGCTTGGCACAGGCCTCCCCCATTGATTGCTTCATAAGAGCGATATTTTCCGTAGTTGCCACACTTGGCAAGCGAGTTGGCAACCGCAATTTTTTTATTAAATATTTTGAGACATTATCAGGAAGATGGTGCTGCTAATCTCTCGTAGGTGGACTCATTATTTTGCTTTTATTTTATTACTTTTTATTGTGTTTGTTAAATAAATGTTTATCTATTCTAAGAATAAAATAGAATACTATTTTATTCTCATGGTTATAAGAGTCTGCTGGTTTCTCTTTAAATTACTTGTTAGTTTTACACTGACAGCTCATTCGTTGACAGAAATACAGTATCATATCTCCGCAGTACAAAATGATTTACGCTTGAACAACGTGGGGAAATATTAAAAACTTATTTCCAAAATGAGTGCTGTGTCGCCGAAACAGTGGAAATTTTGAAAAGAAATTTCGATCGAATTAATGCACCAACCGCCCCTGCCGTACGCAAGTTTGTGAAGAAAGTTGGAGAGATTGGCACGTTAATTTATAAAACAACTTATCCTCGTGTTCATCGTGTACGCTCAGCCGAGAATATTGCTACTGTTGCCGAAAATGTGCGCCAAAACCCGGGAACGTCAACTCGCTACAGATCTCAGCAACTGAACATTAACCGCACTAGCCTGAGCAGAATTCTGCATAAGAACCTAGGATTTTATTCCCTTTCAAGGTCCAACTAACTCAGGAATTGAAGCAAAATGACCATCCGCTTCGTTATCGCTTCTCTTTTTAAGCTTTAGAGTAGCTCGAAATTGACATCGATTATGCTAAAAACATAATCTTTTCGGATGAGGCGTATTTTCATTTTGGCGGCTAGTGAACAAACAAAACTGTCGTAATTGGGGCTCTGAATACTCACACGTAGTCGTAGAGAAACTAATCCATCTTCAGCGTGTTCTTTTGCGCACGAAATTCAATAATCATGTAATCATGTAACGGGCTCCCCGGAGCTGTGATTTAATGCCGTTGACCTTTTATCTGTGGGGTTGTCTGTGGGGATGTTATTCTGACCAACCAGAAACAATTCAGCTACTTAAAGAAAATATTGATCGAGCTATTCGTGAAGTAGAGCTTTAAACCACAAAAATGTACAAAAAATTGGGTTTAGACATTGCGCTACTGCCAAGCCAGACAACGCAAGCATTTACATAAAATGATATTCCATAACTAATTGGAAGGTTTACTCTTTTCAATAAAACAACGAACTTTGAAAAATATTAAGTAGTGTTTATTTTAATAGCATTTAAAAAAAACTAGTCGATGGCTCGCCTTGTAGTAATAAAATACGATTATAAAATAAATAATAAACACAAGTTAGGTAGCTAAGAACCTTTCACTACGGCGCTCCGTTTTAAAATGCCAAATTCTTCTGCGGGTGTACGCCGCACGCGGTGACCTTTGATGTCGCGGTGGCGCCTTTGACGACAAATGCCAAGGCGGCGCGACACAAAGGCGATTGTATCTAATGCCCCTATTACACCACCCTGAATCAGTGGCCTAAATGAAGGGTGGGCGTGGCCTCAAGTTGGGGACGTCAGTTATTACACTACCCTGATTTTACGCCCTTACCCCTTTCAGTGCCTTGCCCGCCCATGCGCGGGCAGATTTCAAACACAAATAAATATGCCAAATAACATGAAAAAATTATAAGATTTTGTCTAATAGCTCGTTTTATTATGATTGATTCGTTAACAAAACGGCCTGCGGATATATTAGATTTTAGAAAAGGACCATTCTGACCTGTCATACCGACCCCGCCCATGGGCGTGCAGTACGCGTATTCAGAGTTAACAAACTTTTTGTCAAAAGTTTAATGAAAAACTATAAATTTAGTAGAAATAATAACAAATAAAGTATATTTACATGTAGTGATAATAAAATGTAACTTTATTGTTCTTTGCTTATTATTAAAACTATAAAACCATAACAATATACAAGTTGTTACAAAAAAGCAGGTAATCCATTTAGGGAGTGATTTTATTGCTCAAATGCAACAACTTTTTCTATGGGATCTACATCGAAATCTCAAAATGACTTCCCCATACTAAACCGCCTATCAGCCGAGACGAGTTTGTGTGAAGTAATATTTTTTTGAGATTTCGATATTGGTCCTATATAAGAAGTTTTTGTTTTTGAGCAATAGAATCACTTCCTACGGGGAATACTCGCTTTTTTGTAACATCTTGTAGATAAGACAACATATTGTCAGTAACTACATAAGAATGCAGATGACGATCTACATAATAGGAGCCGA